CGTTCAAGGTATTGTGCTGCACGAAGGTGCCACATACATTTCCCAGTGAGGCAGTCTGGCCATCAGAGTGTGGGATGGGGGTCCATGCACTGTTGAGTTTTCCTGAGCTCTAATCCCAATTCCCACAGTGCTGCCTCAGCTAATCACTGCCTCACTTTTCCTCACTTATAAAATGTGGGGGTAATAACTGTGCATACCTCACAGAGGGCTGAGAGGATTCATTAATTGAACGATGTTCGGGAAGTACTTTGAAGATGAAAAGCCCTATATAAATGCTGGGTGTTACTAGTGCTTAGTGAGTACCTTCACAGCCACAAGCAGGGTGTGTCTGCAGGAAGCAGAGCCATAGGCTGAGACTTATGGCTAAGTGCCTTTAAAAATAAATATGATCAGTAAATGCACTGAAGGTCAGCTTCCCTCTCTTCCTCCGTGGAGTAAGCTCCCACCTCAAAGGAACTAGGATTTTTCTTTGCCTCCTCCACTTCTGGAAAAGACAAAAGAGGTTTGGGAGTGATGAGAGAATTGCACTTGTACCCATAGTGGTGATGCTAGGAGTTAAGACATCACAACCAACCAGTTTCCTGTAAACCATCAGACAGGTACAAAGAATCTATATGGTGAATGAGAAGTATTGTCCCAAACAGGTACTGTACCTCCTGGGAAGCATGGGGTTAGCAGAATAACAGGTCTCAGAAGCCCTATTTACCAGAAAAGCGTGTGTTCCTGTATGTTTAAATGCCAGAGTTGCATGCCCAAGCACTGTCACTGTTGAGACAGCCACCCGTTTGACATGCAGGTGGCCAGTCATGTATACAAGTCTTATGACTATGTGTGCAGTCATATTAATTACATGCATACTTTAGGTATATGAAGGCAAATCTGTACTTGCTCCTTCATACACATGTTTGAATGAAAACACAGAGGCTGATTTCTTCTTCTTCCCTGTGCCCCTGGAAAATCTAATATTTAATATTCACCTGACTAGGTAGAAATAAGAGAAAAGGGATTTTTGATTAGGTTAATTGTTTTAATGACAGCCTGCCACATTTGACAAATTCTTCTTGTGAAGATTCAAGACCGGCAAACTTTTCTTTCAGTTGTGTTTGCTTCTATCTTTAGTAGGCTTCACCACGGTTTTATTTTCTGAATTGGGCAGGGAAGTCTCTTCTATCACAGTCCTCTCCAGGTTTGTCTGGGAATAACATACCAAGCAATAATTTATGACCCAGTGCAAATGTCTAGTTGGAAACAATGACAGAAGATGATAATGTAAAAGCTGCATCTAGCAGCTTAAACAAGACTTGGTTATAGCAAATCAACAGCTTAAGACCAAACTTTGAACCGGACTCAAATGTTCCTGTGTAAAAGATTGAGGCAAAAGCTGGAAATTCTTCTCAGATACAGACAGATTATTAAATGAACTGATTTATAACTAACTCTAGGGTGTCTATCTATAAGGTATAAATCTATAACTAACAGAGGGTATCTGTCATGTCAGGGGTACTGTTGGTCATATCTGGTAGCAACGCCTACGTTGCAAGGTACAAGGGCAGGACAAATGTCCTAGATTTGAGAACACACGGGACCTGTAGGGAGCAGCAAGGGATTAACAGGTTCTGCTCTGTGCACAATCTGAAGGGAGTTCAATTTCATTCATCCTGGAATGCCCTTTTAGTTTGTTCCTTCTTATCATAAGGCATATTAGGGAGCTTGACCACATGCTGTAACATACTGAGCACCCGACTGGGACACAGGAGTACTGCCACTGGCAGTTGTGATACCTTAAACCTTTGTGCCTTAGTTTACCCATTGGTTAAGATGATAAGCTTCCCAGGGTGTTGTGATGATTAGTTATTAATGTTAGTAAAGCATTTTGAAGATGAAGAGTGCTACATGCTGGCTGAAGATATTAATTACCTCAGACTCATGATGAAATTTTTATATTTACATAATAAACCAGTCACGGAAGAGGTGCAGAGATGGTCTCTCCTGGTGAACATATTCTTCTAATTCAGCTATCTCTGTCATCATCATTATCTAAATCAAATCAAATCCTTTTTTCCATGGGGAATCTGCTCTTGGAGAAAGCAAAGCACACATGTTCCAGGTGATACTCCCCGGATGGCAAGCAGCCACCGTGCCTTTGCTAATTTCAGTCCTGCCCAGCCCATGAAACTCACCTCACCCAGAACTTGTTTCAACTTCTCCAGCTGTTCTTGGCGTGTGTTGAGATTTCATAAAGTTGATGCCATCAACTCCCACACATATGGCAAGAGAGAGTGAGAGAGAAAACCCACACACAGTAACTAATATATAGGCAGAAGAGGTATTTGCATGGGAGAGCACAAACATGAGGCTTTTCAAGCTGGCTCCAATGGCTCTTGACTGTTCATGCCAAGATGCAAAGGGATATGCAGATTTAGGAGGATGACTCAGAGAGTCCTTTCCAATGCATAACTCCAGGAAGACGCATGATGCTTCAAGCAGGGCCACTCGATTAACTTTTATGGAGGTCAGCTAGGTAATTTTTACCACAGTCCATACAGTAGTGCTAAGCAGTGTCATGGCTTGGACTCTGCCTGACTAGGGAGGTACCATGGGATGGCTTCACAGCGGGGAGCTGTGGTTTTGCTTTACGGATGCTTTCTGAGAGTCTGCTGAGGAATGCAGAAGAGGACATATGTCTAGGCCACTGGTGAAGGCTGGTAAAAATTTTTTCATGCTCGGAATTCAGAATGCATTCTGCCTTTTGAGTTACTTTTGCTATGATACCTTCAGTGCAGTAGATTATATTCTCATTATGTGTCCTTCTCCTTTTTCCCTTTTTTTCTGAGGCAAATATATAATTTTTCAAACTTTCTCAGCCTCTGAGACTTGTTTTAGATCCATAATTCATTATCAAGATAATGCCTAATTATTTGGTAGACACTTTAAGTTTGTAATCTGACGCCAGTTTCAATATGAAGAATCTGGAAGTGGCAGGCAAGGGAGAATTCAAACACAGACAGACAGTGCAGGCACTGCTACCTATTTCCATTCTCACATTTAGACCTGGGTAGACTTCCCAGTGGAATCAGCATTTATCTCGTACGGCCAGGACTTCTATAGCAGCATGCTTTGTTCAGCATTGAGCAATCTAGAAAATACTACCATTATATCCAAAACATATGCAGATGGAGATGGAAAGGCCAAGTTGAGGCCACTTCCAAAGCAGGGCTGTTATTGCCTGAGAAAGAGGAGAAGTGATTATCTTACTATTCGTATAGGTAGTAACACTGAAATTCCCTGGGGTCAATTCTATTTTAATATTGAAAATCAGAGCAGAATGTTGACATATCCTCCTTCTCTCAGGAATACAGAGGCCCCTGGTCCACGCTGGAGATTTCAGGTACAGAAGCTTGCTGAGAAGTTACGCAGTTGGGGATTCGTTCCCTTTCATTGTACTTCTAACAATCATTAAGATTCAATCTCAGCTGCCCTGTCAGGATCAGGCTTATATTTAGAGTTAGAGGGTTTTAAAAGCCTTCATGAGGTCAGAAATATCCCAGAATATACAGAAGTCTTGCTTAGGGTTTGGTCTGCATGGTAGAGGACAGCAAGCTATTGTACTGAGGATAAGGCACTAAGGTTACTAAGATGTAGAGTAAAACACGGTATCTTACACTGAATGGGAATTAATCTCGAGTTTCTCTGCTCACTTAGCCTCAAAAACAAATCTGAGCATGAGCAGGCACTGGACATATATCAAGACTCACTGCCACTATGTTATTGAGGCACTTGGCAATGTTCTTCCCTGCCAGTCTCACTTCTTTTACTAACCGTGAATAGCATTGCATCCTTGGAGCTTCCGAGTCCCTTGTGCCCGCCATGCCGCTTGGCACTGTCTACTTTACTCTGACTTGTTTCGTGCAAGATCTAACCTATTAGCTGGAGTTGCTTCATTAGTCACTAATGGGCAGCACACTTAGAAAGCATTTCAGTGTATTTTATAATGACTGAAAGACAATATTGAAAGTTTGCTAATTACTCACATTACACACCTAGAGATCTCTGCAAAAGCTTGGCCACGTTTTGGGATCTACTAGATGCTAAATATCAGGTCTTGCACTTCCTTTTCTATTTATACTCATATTTTAATGAAAACCACAAATTCTTCTGGGTGATTTGTTTATTAAGTGAATTTAGAACAGTTAGCATTTGCATTAATTAATTTTGTCGAAAAACTGGTATTACTAGTTGCTTAGGAGTGTAACTGCTATCTCAGATTTCATTGGATACCAGCTACAAATCTAGGTAATAAGTCTTTGTTCATGATTAAGCCAGTGACGTGATTTTCAGTGGCATGGAGCACCTGCAACTCCTTTGCCTTCACAGTGACCTGAAGAGGACTCAGCACCTCGGACAACACCTCTTTAATTAATGTGCAAAGCCAAAATAAACTGCAAAAAATCTTTAAGACCAGATTTTCACAACTGCATACCCAGAAAGGTAACTTTGTATAATCTGAGCGTGCACCTGCTGTGATTTCTGATACCTTCAAGGTAATGGCACATATAAGTTATTACGAATTGCATGTTTAAACAAAAAATGAAAGCCAAGTCCTAAAGCTACTAATGTCCCAATCCATAAATATGAACTGATTGTATTTTTAATATAAATGTTGGGGTTTCTCAGCTCAGGCACTGGATTTTGATATGCCCTTATCTGAAGAAGTATCTGAAGTGTCTACTCTTCAAGGTAGTACTCACAGATCCCTCTGTGCCCTGGAGTTTTACACTACTTCCTTGATTGCATGATCAGAAATGCTCTTTCAGTAATTTCATCTCATTTCTTTTCACTAATGACAGATCCTGTCTCTCCACAAAACCACCTTCAAATTCTTGATTTCTTTTACTGGGTCACTGTTAACACTTCCATACTCTATATAATGATGCTGAAGATTTATGGTAGATGGGCTTTATGCCAGTCTCCTGAATAAAACTGAATTTCATCTTGAACAGGTATGAACTTGGAACAATTCCTGCCTCCCAGGTAAAATAGTTCATCTAATGCATAGGCATACCATGAAATCTGCACGAACTGAAGAAGCTGGGAAGCTGGAAGGAAATTTCTCTAATCCATAGCTAAATTTCTCCTGATGAAGGGTATGTACAACGAACTGCAAGAAAACAAATGATTATTCTGATTTATTTTCCACTGTATGAATAATTGGTAACATTGTTCTTCTTGGCAAAGATGAATAGTTGGAACTAGACTGTTTCACACAGACAAAATATCCACAGGGAGAGATTTTTGAGGCAGTCATAGGATGCACCCTACAGAGTGTGATTCTCATGACATTAAAGCATTGCTAATGGCATTGCGATTAACTTCTAATGAAAAAAGAAATGAACCTGATAAACACAGCATAAATGCTGTGTGGAAAGGACAATAAAAATGTTAAATTTTAGGCAAGATCTGGCTCTCAGTAAAGCCAAACGAACTGAGCTTATTGAACTTATCCATAACAGGAAAAAGAATTTATGACTGCGAAGGACGAAGAAATACTGCTATGACTTTGGGTTGCTAAATAACCACAGAAGAGATCCCCCAGAGTTTTGCAATAGTAACTGTTGTGTTACTCTGTGGAATTTTTTGATCCTTTGATAATGTTTCCTCCTTTTCACAGCAAAATCCACACTGCTTCTTGAAAGCTTTTAAAACATTTTTTCCTTATGCTTTTATCCTAGAGGAGAAAGCAAGACTACATCTGGTATTTAGGACAGGGAGCTGGCAATCTGGATTCTTTTCGGCTTTGTCACTAACCTGTGGTGTGACTTTGGTCTACTCATTGTAAAGCACCATGGCTTAGAGAAGCTATGGGGAGTCCCTCTATTCCTTGCAGAAAAGGTACTGTTTGTGCCTACTAAAGGGACCACCTTTGCAAACTTGGCATTTGGCAGTCTCAGCTCCTACACTGGTTCTTTGCAGCCTGGCAGAAAACACTCCCGCTTGCAGAATCTCATGAAGCTGGGCCAAGGTACAGGTTCTCAGTGTTACCCATACGTAAGCTCTTCTCTCAGTCCCCAGTCTCCATTAGAAATGTAACACCAATCATCTTTGTTGCTTTACCTTACCCCCAACATTTGATCAGCCTAGGAGTAAAACAGATGTTTATTTAATAAAAATTAAAATCAAACATTTAGATACTAGGCTAGGAGGAAGTATACAGAAGTAATTAACATTATTTCAATTCTGACTTAAATTTAACAACCAACGACCAGCATTTTAGGCTGTCTTCCCTGGAATCTCAAAGAATGTCCACAACTCTCAAGCACTGGGATCCATCACTCCCAGTCCTGAATGTACACCATGCTCCATCCCTCTCTGGACAACAACTTGAAGTTCTCCATGCCCATATTCTTTAGAAGTTAGGTTTTATAATATAAACGTATCTCTAATCAGCTTTTACCAAAGCCAGCAGCAATGGATATTACCAGTGGTTCCTCTGGATTTAGACCTAATTGACAAGAAGGTGTTTGACCTCTAAATGCACCTGCTGGCTCTTCCTGTGTGATAGGTGCCTTATTATTGATTATTTCTCCATTTTTCCTATCCAGCCTGCTGGCTGCTGCTTCCCACCCACTCTAAACTGCTACCTTTGTTTATAGAGTTGTTAGCGTTATTCAAGGCACTGGTTATACACATTCTATTAAGTGTACGATTCGTAAGTTATCAGTTTTTTATAGAGACCTATATATGCTACGTTATGAATACAGATTACATATTGATAACAAGTTGCTCTGAGTGGACGTATCTATGACAACAGGAATTCCTCACCTTTATCCTCTGTCACAGTCATATAGGCTAAAATTTTGAACACCCTTCAGAGATATCAGATACTTCATTTTTGATGTCCACCTTGAAATGAGTCAACAGTCAATGAGTACCTCGAGCTTCTGCTTCCTTTATTTGGATATTGGGTGCTTGCTTTGAAAAGAGGCAACAGTCATTGAGTACCTTGAGCTTCCCCAGCTTGGATTTTGGGTGCTTGCTCTGGGGGATGTCCACAATGGAAACAAGAAGCTAAATAAAAAATGTGTTTTTTTTGAAGTGCCTTCAACTTTAAAATGGGACTTTCAGTTTCTAAAGGCTGACAGGGAGTTAGTTTTGAGAAAGTCTTTGTGTGGTCATTTTTTGTTCTGGAATAAGTGTGTTCTTGCATAGAATTATACTGAAAAATTTTGTCAAGAGACATTGTCTTTTGTTTCCATGAGTTTTAAACTATTTCCAAACAAGTTTGATGTAAGCCAGCAAAACCGAGCTTTTATCCTACTGAATAAAAGCACCTCCCTGAACAACATAAGCCCTCAGCTAACTTAGAGCGCAGGGAGCTGCCAGAGTGGTCACTGTGCTTCAGTGACTTCACCATGCCAGTAGCCACCGGGCCCAAGCTTGTGGCCACAGCACTGTGACTTCGCTGTGACAGCCTCTGGCTGAGAGGATGTGCATTGCCAGCAAAAGCAGCTGGAAATGACACAGCCATAGCGGCAGCTAAAAAATTACAATATTTCTGTGATAAAATAATTCCTGTCTCAGTCAGTGTACCAGGAACTCCTCCACATGTAAATAAGCATTTTGTTACTTTTGAAAGTAGACTTTGCTTTTTAAATTACTTATGCCTTGTATCTTTACAGGGCCCTGAAAAATGCGGTGGAAGTTTGGTATTTAAGCAGCTAGCAAAATTTTCTGAAATGTCTATCTGCAGTCATAGCAGCCTAAATAGATATATTTTGAATCTGGCACTTGATGCTTCAGTATACTGGCAAAAAGTAAAAGGAGGCATACACTGAGGTCACTGTTGCAACTGACGGAGTGTAATGTAAACATCTCAAGCACTTTTAAATTAGTCCTCTCAGGTAATGCCAATTGGCAGTGCAGAGGTATTGTTCAAGGGCTGTACTTTGCAGCTCATTTGAGCCCACTGTTGCTAGTCTTGTAGACTACCGCTGAGACTGAAACAAGGTAGTTTATGGCTTCTTTAGAGGGTCTCATCATGCTGTGAGACTGTAACGAAATTTAGTAAATTACCTGATTTCCTCTAATGAAGGGCATTATATGTGTACAGTCTGTATTATTGCCTAATTATGAGTAGCAATTAAGACTTTGCACCTACAATTTTTCAGTAGCATATTTATTCATGGGTTGTAAAATTCCCTTTCCTTGAGTTCTCTACTGCTGCTACCAGCAAGGCATAGAGCAAATTTTGTTCTTTCTTCAGTGCCTCAGAACAAGCTACTTCAATAAACCTGGCATCCTCAACTGAGAGCCAAATGGCCTAGATCTGAAGCAGCTGACTTGCTGTTGTGACTGTGGCTTATATATACCTTGACCGAGACTGTATACACCTTGGTAAACTGAATCAAAATGCTAGAACACAGGCATGCAGTACTACCACCAGGCCTAATTCTGCACCTCCTCAGAGCAGGAGTGAGCTTACCCACAAAAGCAGCCCAACCTGGGGACACACACTGATGTCAACACTACAGTGAGATTATTTGCATGCATAATAATGTATGTGCAGGTACATTCTTGTATTTATTCAATCCTGTAATTCCTAGGTGCCATCAACTTTCAGTGACCTTCCTGGGAGTTGGCAATGTTTAGAACTTCATTGGATCCCATACACCCGTCCTAATGCAGTGATTCATTTAACTATAGCAGTAAGATTCATACATATCCTTAAGTGATTTGTGGAATGGGGAACACATTGAATATATTTATGCATTTACATTTTAATCTATGATTTAATTGTGCTTTCAAGGCATTGCTTTGAAAACACTGCTTTCGCTGAAGAATAAAGCCAATGCTAATATTTTTTCCCTGATGCTATTAGGCTGGGTCAGATTGGGAAATCTGTGTGCAAGGGAGTGAGTTGGCAGGTACAAGCAGTCAGCCCAGCTGCCTTTAATGGCACTGTTTGTGAGAGCTCACCAGTGTGAGGGTTGTGCGCTGGGGCCTGTGATGTGTGGTGCACAGCAGCCAGATAGCTGAAGTGTTACTCAAACACAGCAGTTGCTCATAGGGGTAGTAACCTTGAAGCCAGCGTGACTGATGAGGGGTTCTGCATTGTATTACTAGTCTTGTTGTTGTCTATGCACTGCAGTCACTCATAGGCAAACCAGAACATGGCTCCGTTGTTTGGACAGACAAACAGAACAATGACAGCCCCTTCTTCACCAACTGCATCTCTAGAAAAAATGTTCATTTTCTTATCCTGCTGTGGAGTCTTACAACAGTATGTAGTGAATATATTCAAATGGGAACGTCTCCAAGTGGAGACTATAATGTTAGTACAAAGTATTATTAATAAATGAATTGACTTTGTTTTTATTAGCTAGAAAAATAAACCTAGGCTCATGTTGTTTGAGAGAAACTAAGATCAGGACAGACAACGTTAAGGACACAGCTAACATAAAAACTACCACACAGTAAATCAAAGAACAAGAAAAGTACATGGCTATTAACATACTACTATAACATTCCTCACAACCTCTCTGCAGTATGGAGAACTGCAAGCCAACATTTTTCAACTGTCCCAAAGAATGTGAAATGTAAATGTTTAGAAAAGTGTTTTTCTTGCCAAGCTGAGAAGGATCATAAACATCAGCTCCTAACAGAAACAGTTTTAAAAAGATGCACGCCTTGCTGCCAGCTTTTGAGAGCAACACCATTTAAATTAGGCTGGAGTCTACTTGAATTCCTAACACTCCATTGCTGCCTTTTATTTGCCAAAAATTGTTGGATTGATGTTATGTTTGAATTTAAAGTATGATCTGCAACTGCATTAAATATGTTGCTTAGATGTCGTGTGGATAGATGATAAATTGCCTGCCTAGAATTCATTCTGAGGAAGACACAGACCTAAAGAAAATGTTGAGGAGAAAGAACCATTGTTTTAATTATTATGTTTTATTTCTGTGGCATCAAAAATGTATATGGTATTTTCCTGTCAAGTGGAGCTTACAGATTTGTTGAGGTATGACTTTGCACTGGCCAGTAATATACCAGAGGCTAACCATGACTTATTTCTCGCTATACTCACTCCACCTTTCAGCTGAGAGGTCTGTAAGTATCATTGATAGAATAACTCAGTAAACTGCCA